AAAAGAAAGTTTGAGTCCATTTTCCAAACCGTCACTGCTAATAATAATATTTTGATTTGCATTTATTATATCTATTGCAACCAACAACGTTTACCTGTCAACATGACTTGTTGTGCCTATACTCCAGATAACACAGGTCCACATGGTAATGTAAGCTTGTCTATTTTATGATGTCCCTCTGAAGAACTAAGAAGACTTTAAGAACCGTTACTTCACAGGGTTTCTGTGCCTTTGGGCTAACACGTCTTCTGATACTAACAAATAAAGTTTATCTTTTAGAATCTAACATTTCATAGGGGGGACTGATGTAGAATTATTAAAATCTTTATTAGAACCTGTATTGAATTATTGTACTAACTCCATTTTAATCTCACACTATGACAGAATTCTCCATTTTGTTCACCTTACATGACAGAATTTCCTGACAGTATTCAGTATAATGAATAAGAGATTGTATTTTCTCTCTCTAAGGACATGACTAGCCCCGGAGTTAGCGGATCTCCCGTAACTTGCAACATAGTATAATCCAAGGCCAGGAGAACAGCGACTAAATGAAATGTTCTATTCATAAAAGAACCTTGGACCAGACCACGAGACTGACATCACTAACTACGTAAAATGATGCCCAAGCCCCCCCTTTCCACCGAGTAAGCCTTGTGCTAAAGAGCAATGGCGACGACATCCCATGATGGGAGGGTGCCTCACTAGTCACTCAAATCTCTGAGCCAATTAATAATATTAATGGGTGGACACTGACATAGCCACTTAACATTTAACCCAATTAATGATGTTTATTTGTTATTATCTGATATTCAATGATGATGTCATTTTGCATATAAAAAGGCCTGCGTGCCCGCTTTTTAACTAGATGCTAATAAATTTCCTGAAGTGTTTTTAACCTGAACTGCATGTGTCAGTGTGAACTTACTTCTGCGTATACGCAATTTATTCATCTCAGATTTGGACAGGAACAGATAGACTTTTAAACATTTTTGTTTATTTCTAAACCACCCCCAAACTAAGCTTTCAGTCGATAGCTTTGCATGCTACTTTACCAACAAGATCGAACAGTTAAGGAAATAATTCTCCCCCCTTTGCTCCTCTTGCAACCACACCTAGAGTGTACCTTCCCTACCCTTTAGGCTTTCTCCCCTAGTCAGAACAGTATACTGAACAGGAGGTGGCTGCGCTTCCTGTTCGCCTCTCGTCCCACCACTTGTCCACTTAATCCCATACCTTCCCACCTGATCAGGTCTCTCTCCCATTGTCATGTACCATGCTTAACACACATTCTCAACTGCTCTCTTTTATTTGGTGGTGTCCCTACTCCCCTTAAAAATGCTACTGTCATAGCCATCCCTAGACTCGTCTTCCCATTCCAACTATCATCCCATATCCCTGCTCCCTTTTTCCTTCGGAGCTTCTAGATAGACTTGTCTTTACTCGTTTGGCTTGCTTCCTCAGTTACAACTCTCTCCTCGATCTTCTTCAATCTGGCTTCCGCCCCCTCCACTCTATTGAGTCTTCTCTGACTAAAGTTACAAATTACCTAATTGTAGCTAAATCCAGATGACATTATTCCATGCTAATTCTTCTTGACCTCTCTGCCGCTTTTGACACAGTTGACCATGTCCTCCTTCTCCAAACTCTTCAATACCTCAGTCTCTGTAACACTGTCCTCTCGTGGTTCTTCTGGAGCTTATGTGGGGCAATGGTTGGTGCTTGAATAGGCCACTGGGTGGACGTAAGGTAATATGTAGGGTCTATTAAATATATTTTGATTTCTGGTCTTTTTCCCAAATAGCAACTCCCTGTCACCATTGCAAGCTTGGTGGATCCGTGGCAAACTCACCAGATTTGAATTTCTGTTCTCCAGGGCTAACATTTCACTTGCAAAGTGCTGGTGGCAGATGAAAACAGGTCTCTCATTGAAAAGGAAAGATCTTAATTATCTTGCCACCTGCTTGGAATTAAATTGAGGTTACCTCTGAGTATTTCAGTAATCTACCAGACATTCCACTATACCTATGAGCTGAGTGAACATTTGTTCTTAAATGGGTACTGGAAGCAAAATTACCTATAAACTGCGAGTAATAAAAGGATTAACACTCCCCCCTCTTCCCGAACACATGCAAAAAAAACATCTTTGGAAGAATAATTCTGGCAAATTTCATATGCCTTTTTTGGGCCCCCCTCTAGAGCAAGAGTGTAGCAAAGGTAGATCCCCATCTGTTGTGCAACTCCAATGATGCTATACCACCTGAGGATCTACCATTTGCCCATCCTTGCAGGGTGGTATTTGTGAGTAGTGTTTGCACTTTTTATTGTAAGCATGTTTTTGTATACAGTATATGTGTGCATGTAGGGGTGTATTTGCAGGCACTTCTGCCATTGAAATGCAGTGGTATATTTGTTTGTGTTTGAATGCAGCGGTGTGTGTGTGTGTTTGTATGTAGTGTTGGCCTTTACAGGTAATGTTGGCTTTGAAATGCGGATGTAAATGTGGGTGTAGTATTTGTGTTTGAGTGAAGGGGTGTATTTGGATATAATTTTGGAGTTTGCATGCAAGGGCTGGTTTCTTTGTAATGTCTATGTTAGATTGCAGGAGTGTGTTTGCATGTTGTGCTGGTGTTTGATAGCTTGCGTGTGTGCACATACATACATATATACATATATATATATATATATATAAATATAAAAAGAGGAATGAGATAGCACTCTCAGGACTATAGAAAAATAAAACTTAACTTTTAATGAGCTTGTACAAAAAAAAAAATCGACGTTTCAGTCTGTTAACCACAGACTTTCATCAGGACTTCATCAGAATCCTGATGAAAGTCTGTGGTTAACAGACTGAAACGTTGATTTTTTTTTGTACAAGTTTATTAAAAAGTTAAGTTTTATTTTTCTATAGTCCTGAGAGTGCTATCTCATTCTTCTTTTTGTATTTTGCTGGACTAGCACCGGGCATTTAAATTTATTTGGATATATGGAGTGCAAGATTTTTTCAAGATTTTCCTTTTTGCTATATATATATATATATATATATATATATATATATATATATATATATATATATATATATATATATATATATATATATATATATATATACACACCTTGACACTGACACATGCAGACATCCTGACATACAGATACACACATTGACATATACACACACAAAATCTGACATACATACACACATATGTAATTTTCATATTTGCAGCCACCCTACTGTTAACATAGCTTTTGGGTACAGGAGGGTTGCTTGCTTGGGGTCCTGCTGCTGCTGGCTGATGTGATTTAAGTGTGAGGCTCTGCAGCAGCTCACTCCTGCCAATTTCCCCCCTGTTGCCACGACCAACTCCCTCCTGTAAGGTGCTAACTGTATGAAGCTGGGAGAAAGTGACGGCCTTGCACTTCCTCCCAGGCGGCTGATACTACAGGGGCTTGGTCGCACTCATAAAGACCCATGGCATCCAACCGGGCCCCTGTTCTACAATACCCATCAGGTGGGCGCAAGTGTATAAGCCAACTGATGGGACCCCAAAGCGTGCGGGCCCCAGTGCAGCTGGTAATTCTACCACTGGCCTTGAACTACTTGGCAGTATTCTGATAAAGGGTAAAGATATTAAATTACTTCAAGTATGGTTACAAAATGTGCACATGTAATATATAGCCAGGAATGACTGAAGAAAATAACAATATAAAGGCAAGTGGTTACTCCCTCCAAGAAAGGAATTATAATTTAAATAAACTGGTGTGCCTATACAGATAATGATTTTGTCTTCCCCTTCCACCTGAAAAATGTGTCTAGACATCGAGAGCCGGATTAAGATTGCCTATATCTCTAGATATGATGCCAGATATTTGACCCCACCTTGAGCCCTAGGTTCTCAGTGATATGCATGTGTTGGCTGAGTTTTGTATGGGTGTGGGAGGTTGAGTGTTTGTGTGTGGGAGAGGGTTAGTTTGTTTGTGGAGGCTGAATGCTGTGTATATGTGTGGTGGCTGAGTATTGTGTGTGTGTGTGTCAGAAAGGAAGTTAAGTGTGTGAAGGGAGGCCCCCATACACATCTTTCCTTCAGGTGCCGACAGGAGGCCACCAGCCACTAAGCCCGCCTCATGCATTCTCCTGCATGCAGTATATTCCAAGGCATGATGTTAGTTTTATATGTGTTGCTTGCTATATTTTGTATTTTTTAGGTTTATAAAGTTCCATTGCATTTGGCACAATTCATGTAAATTATACAAACACTTTGAATGACTTGTTAGCGAAAGGAAAAACTTTGAATAACTCGCATGGCAAGGATTTCTTAGTAAACATCTTATGTCAATAAATGTTGTTTCTGTAAAAAATGATATCCTTTATTGAGACTTCCCTGGTCAATACATTTTTCATGTTAAGTAAATCTAGATTCTTCATTATTTCCATACTTTCTGATCATCCAATGCTTTGTTACTAATCGTAGCACAGAAGAGGCCAACAATAATATTTAAATGAAAAATACACAAATGTAGTTAATATTTGGATTGTGCTTTGCGTGATCTTCCAGCTAATTATGGAACAAGTAACAGTGATAAGTGGATGGTAATATTAGGAAGGTTTAGTTAAGTGAATTGTATTTCTTATTGGGTATTAATCGGTTATTCCAACAACACTTTATTTAAGAAATATTCCAACAACACTTTATTTAAGAAGTGAAGATGGAGGCTAGTGTCCCTATGCTGCTATAGCTATATAGCTATAACTCTTGCCTATTTGTAGGCCATATCACTTGCCTATATTTTACCGTATGTAGTATATATTTATGGTCCTGTCCAAGGCAGGATTGAGTGTAAAAGCTACACACTCTTTGCCAATCAAACAGATATAGACATATACACTGTCATACACACTCTTTTAGAATACACGAATACACAATATTATGCACACGCGGTGATATAGATCCAATTTGATCTTTATTATATTCAGGGGAGCACAAATTGTTACAAGTGCACTTAAAGGAGGGTGAATTCAGGCACCAGACGCGTGTTGGCCAAAGCCTGTGGGACTTTCATTATTTCTTCACCACGGTTCCCTTGGACTGAGAGACCACCAGAAACAGCTGAGGAGAGTTCCTTCATTTGTTAGGCGAGGTAACATTGTAAAAACCTTCCGAATTCGGAGCTGGAAGGTAAGTTAAGGTATGACCAACAGTAGATTTGTTTTTACATATAGAGGTTAGTAGGCATGAGAAGAACTTAAAGGTTAGAAAAATTGCCATAATAACAAATACAGCTAATAGCAAAAAGTACTAAATTTTCTTAATTAGCAAAGTCAACCATGTTCGTAGCCCAAATGTCCAATACCCAAAGAAGACAGTATCTTGTTTGATATCCTGTACTTAGTTATGAAAATCTTTTCTATGTTTATGGATCATAGTGCCGTGATCAGATAGGTTAAAACAGCACATACCTTCAATAGCTTCACAGCCTAAGTCGTGTTTCATTAGTAAGTAGTCAATTGCTGCTCTATTCTCAAGGATTGCCTTCTTATTTGCCTGGGTGTCCATAACTAGCTCTTCTAGGGCCTGGGAACAGGCTACAGCATTAATTACTTGGGTATTATACAGTGCTAAGCCTGGGACTCCTACCATAGAGCACGCAAGGACAGAGTATTCAGATTTAGATAAGAGTGATTTCAGGGTTACAATCTGAAGTAAGGGTGTTTTTGACATCTCTCCTGTCTCTCTGCGGTTTGTGTAGCTGGGTGGTTTCAGAGATCAGGTCAGATTTGGAAAACATGGTCATGGTTAAGCATGAGATTGCACAGGGACCTCCTGTAATAACCTGGAACATAAGCATAAGTAATATTTCCACAGGAGAAAGTTCATCCTTTAGGGAGATACACATGGTGGTGGTGACTCATAACTTGGTAAGTTTTGGTACATTTCATAGTGGTGCTCAGGGCTCTACAATTAGTGGTATTTTTCCACCATGTGTAGCAAAACAGGGATTCAGTATTAGGGTTTCTTGAACAATTACATGAAAAAGACCAACACAGTTCAGCGGCTGTCATTAATTGTCTTCAGGGCTAGGGAGGCTTGCCTACCAGTGGGTTGAAAGCATAAGAATGTAGTTGTAGAGATTTATGGGGTCTATGGGTATGTAGGTACTTCCTCAAGAGTGAGATGGTGGTAGGGACAGCTATAAGACAAGATTGTATGGCATTTTCAGTACTGATGAGAGGGTTGAGTTAAAGAGGAGTTTAAATTAAAAGCCTTTGCTATCTGCATCCATATATTTCTCTGCCATGCATTATTATCTTCTAGCCTCAAATCAGAGTAGCATATCTGAACAGAGCATACAATGGTAAAGGATAAGAACAGCTTTATGTCGGTGGATCAGTCGAAATGACTTATTTACAGTGACTGGCGTGTATCCACGTGTTTCACTGAGGTAGCCGTAGGCAGGAGCACTTGGAATGGACCGTCAAAGCGTGGTTCAAGTCCTTTCCTCACATGCCTCTTTATCACCACCCAATCCACAGGCTGCAGTTTGTGAGTTGCAGAATCAGTCTCGATCTGGAATGGATTCAAAGACTTGTTTATGCACCCTGCCTAATCTTTGGTGTCTGTACATAGGTAGTCATAGGTAGTCATACTACAATGCTGCATCTGGAGGGTCTGGGGAAAGTAGAGGCCTGTCTTTGGAGCACATCCAAACAGGATTTCAGAAGGGGATAGGCCATGTCTGGAATTGGGGGTGAATGTCTGGATTGTTTGTAGCACAAATCATGCAAGCTTCGGTGTGTTTAGCTGCTACAACAGTAAATCCAGGTGCTGCCCAGTGGGTGTTTACTATGCTGTTCATGTGCATCTTGGATAGATGTGTAGGTCCATGGGCCATCTGGGCCATCATGGGGTATAACACTCGTTGTAGACACAGTCTTTTACCTTTCCTTCACATTGTGTCATCATCAGGTTCTGCATCTTGTTTCCTCCAGAGGTCATGTTCTTCCTTGCTTGCCTGTTTTTGTAAGCTCAGCAGTATATTGTAATCAACGGCATCATCTGTAAGAACAACCTGCAGGAAGGTATTACCTGTAGAAGGATGTACTTGGATTGCTGCTTGCTTGGCAGCTTCGTATGCTTTGTGGTTTCCTCTCGTAATTTCATCTGTGATCTTCACGTGAACTGCCATCTTGATGATGCCTACTTGAGTGGGTAGCAGGATAGCGTCCAAAAGTGCACTCACGGCTTCAGAGTTCTTGATTGGAGTACCTGCTCAGGTGAGAAAATCATGAGCCTGCCATATAGGGCCAAAATCATGGACTATACCGAATGGCATAGTGAGAGTCTGTGTAAATATTAGCTGTCTTACCATAGGCCAGTTTGCACGCTTCAGTGAGTGCCTTCAGCTCAGCCTCCTGTGCAGAGCAGTGAAGAGGGAGGTTCAGTTTTACCTCATGTGCAGAGACTACAGCATATTCAGTGTGGAAATTACCCTTCTCATCAGCATATCTGGAACTATCTACAAAAAAAACTCAAAATCTGCATTAGATAATGTAGAATCAATTATATGCGAAAAACCTGCTGCCTCTTGTGCCATTAGAGCTGCACAATCATGGGGTACCTGGGCTCAGCTAACTCATCTGGTGAAAGTGAATTTACAAAAAGAAATACAAGTACCATCTCCACTCCCCTCTTTTAAATCCAGGGGAAGCAATGTAGATGGATTTAACACCATAAACCTTTTCAATGTAACATTAGGTGGCATAAGCAAGGCACATTGCATTCTGAGATGCCTTGCAGTATGTATGTGTTTTGGTTGAACTTGGGACAGTATGCTGTTGATGTCATGCGTATATGTGTATATGGTCACTGGGTTATCTAAGACAATATCAGTGGCTTTGTCCAGGAGGGCAGTAACAGCTGCCACTGCCCTAATGCATGAGGGGGCACACCTGGCAACAGGGTCTAATCTGGTGGAGTAGTATGCTATTGGTCTTTGTTTACCACCATGGTCCTGTGTAAGGACAGATGTAGCATAACCTGATTGTTTAGTACTGAACAGTGTAAAAGGCTTTCTGTAATCTGGAAGACCCAGTGCTAGAGCTGAGATGACAAGCAATTTAAGGGTGTCTAGGGGGGTAACTAGGGGTTTCCTTATGTCTGGTGGACTACCCTTTTTCTCCAATGAACCCATTGGTCTTACTGGGGTGGCTGGGGAACATATGAAGTCCCACTGCGTAATATTACTGGAAAGAGCTGTTCTGACTTCTGTAAAAGGGCCAATATGTGAGCTGGGGGTTTAGGTAAACCACAACTTGTACACTTTTCCTTCCACCAAAAATAGGTCCATTTGCACCGTGGACAGATCTAATATTCTTTCTGACTAGTGGTAGTAGAACCAAGAGATGCCTGATTTGGGGAAATCGTCTAGTCTTTAGGGACCAAAGGAGTCCCTGCCTTGGTGGGTTAACAAGATTTTTCCCAGGACCTTGCCTACTCTGGGACCCTAGAGGTCCAAAACATTGATAATATGGTATACCTTTTCTGGTGATTTCTCTACAACCACATTTAGTTAATTTAACTGCAGTATCATGCCATTTTTGAGCGACTTCTACTAAGTCATTATCTTCTAACCATCCTCTGTAATTTGCCATAAATTCCCTCCATATATGTGGGTCTAGAGTGCCCTCTGAGTGCATGTCAGCTTTCTTAAGTAACTTCTTAATTTTCTTAACAGCTCCTTGTCCTTTGTGATGCTTAACGATACTCAAAGCTGAAAATCCCTCCAGAGTGCTTTGAGAGCTACCCATCTTAAAACTTGCAAGGGTTAATTACTCCCTTACACAAGATAAACTGTACAAAATAGTGCAAAACACTTAGGACCGCTGCAATGGAATTTTCAGTCTTGTCTTCGTTATTTTAAACACAGATCAGGAGATCTGCACTTGGAGGATTCTAACTCGAATTATAAAACAAATGCTCCTGGCAAACAATAAAAATAACTTAAAACCCACAGATATATTCCACTATCTCAAGATTCTTTTAACAAGACAAAACATCCACCTGAATATAATCCTAATACCACAGAAAACAAATTCTTTGGATCCGGCGTTTTTAAAATCCTTATCCACCCGGACAGGGGCCTCAAAGAGCACCAGAGTGAATCAAAGGTAGAAACATAAAAGCTTTTTCTCACCTGCTGCAGCTGTCTGATAACCGTCATTCTGGCTCAGAGCCACCCCTTTCTGGGTCTGGATGGACTGGATTCATCTCCCGGGTTTTTTATATTTCAGATAGATACCTTAACATTATATAGTTATTAAAACTATTAAATAAAGTAAGCAGCTTTAAGGTCTCTCTATCATCATTAATACAAAGTTTACTCAAGTAAAAAAAAAAAATCATGGGTTTAACCTTTATTTCTTCCTATATTTCCCTATTTCTCCCCCCGTCCCCCGTCCCCTGTCCCGTGCGCCCCTCCCCATCCCTGTCCTAATTATCTCTATCACAACCCTAATAAACTTGCTTACTTATCTAATTTTTCCCCTATCTTTATTTGGAAAGAGAGAGGCCATTCGTCTTTGATTAAACTATCGTCATCAATTTTGTTATACGCCCGTTTAACCCATATGTTCCTTTCTTATTGCCACAACATATACTATTCATCTTTCTGTCCCCCTCCTAGTTTCATTCCGTTTATCTGGATGAGAGACAGTCTATGATGTTTTTATTTAAAAAATTCTAATTGATCTACCCAAGCTCACCAAGATGCCTCTTTCCATTTTTGCTTGCCATATTACTTGTGCTATCACTTCTCGGGTGGATGGAATTTGTAAATTTTTCCAATTCCGTGCTATCAGTAATTTAACTGCTGTAATGATGTGTGAAATTAACATTGAATCCTTCATCTTCATTTCTGACTTATTTAAATTTAATAGAATTATTTCCGGATCCAATGCTAATTTATTTCCTGTCATATAGTAAATTAGTGTAATTATATATTTCCAATAAATGTATATCGGTTGGCAGTACAACCAAATATGTAATAATGTGCCCTTATCAATATTGCACCGCCAACATCTATTGGATCTATTTGGGTATATTTTATTTACAAGATTCGGTGTTAAGTACCATCTATTTGAGGGTTTAACCCCTTCAAGACCAAGGACGGTTCAGGACAGTCATCTGCATTTTTGCATTGCCGACCGGTGACGGTCCTGAACCGTCCTAACGGTCCAATGTACTTACCCGATCGCTGTCGTTCCCCCGGCGGCGATCGGCGGTGCTCCCGGTGTGGGGAGACTGCCTGCAGCCCAGACAGTCTCCCCATGGCGGATTAGGACCCCTGTGGCCATGTGGTCGCTCAACAGAGCGATCACATGGTCACAATAGGTGTCCATGTGTCTGCCTGCAGGTGGACTGTCTGTGCTGACAGGCAGTCTCCCTGCTAGTGTAACATAAAATAAAAAATTAATGTTAATAATAAAAAATAATAAAAAATTATATATGTATATAAAAATACACTTATAATTAAATTACACACGTGTGTATATATATATAATATATATAATAACTATATATTGTATATAAATATTATAAAATACAAATAATAAGTAATTTAAATTAAATAAAAACGTAAAAATAATAATAAAAAAATATATATATCTATATGAAATTTTATTCTAACTGTATTTTGATAGTAATATATATATATGTATATATATATATATATATTTATATCAAATACACTTAGAATGAAATTGTATATATATCAATGTATATATAAATAAATAAAAATAATACGAAATATACATATGTCAATATACAAAATTACCTAAATAATTATATAAATATACACGTAGACTTCAAATATATAAATATGCATATATATTTAAATTTTACATGCGTATTTATGTAATATTTTTACATTATTAAGTAATTTTATTGATTGCAATTTGAGGGACCTGCCTGCCAACCCAGGTTGAAAGTCCAGAGAATTTAGTTTGCTAGCACTATATTTTACCCTGTAACTTTCTATGACACCCTAAAACCTGTACATGGGGGGTACTGTTTTTTACTCTGGAGACTTCGCTGAACACAAATATTAGTGATTCAAAACAGTAAAACATATAACAGCGATGATATTGTCAGTGAAAGTGACTTTTTTTGCATTTTTCACACACAAACAGCACTTTTACTGATGATTGTTGTGATACGTTTTCCTGTTTTGAAACACTAATATTTGTGTTAAGCAAAGTCACCCGAGTATAACAGTACCCCCCATGTACAGGTTTTATAGTGTTTTTGAAAGTTACAGGGTCAAATATAAGGGTAAAATATTTTTACATTGAAAAAGGCCAGGTTGGTTACGTTGCCTTTGAGAGCATATGGTAGCCCAGGAATGAGAATTACCCCCATGATGGCATACCATTTGCAAAAGAAGACAACCCAAAGTATTGCAAATGGGGTATGTCCAGTCTTTTTTAGTAGCCACTTAGTCACAAACACTGGCCAAAATTAGCGTTTAATTTAGTTTTTTTACTTTTTTCATACACAAACAAAAATGAATGCTAACTTTGGCCAGTGTTTTCGACTAAGTGGCTACTAAAAAAGATTGGACATACCCCATATTGAATACCCTGGGTTGTCTACTTTAAAAAAAATATGTACATGTGGGGTGTTCTTCAGAGATTTATGACAGATAATAGTGTTACAATGTCACTATTGATAAATTTAAAAAATATATGTTTTGAAACCGCAATATTCTACTTGTACCTATGGCCCTATAACTTGCAAAAAAAAAAGCATGTAAACACTGGGTATTTTTAAACTCAGGACAAAATTTTTAATCTATTTAGCAGTTTTTTTTCATTCGCTTTTGCAGATGAGTAAAAGATTTTTCAAGTAAAAGTCAAAAAACATATATTTTTTTCAATTTTTCATCATTTTGTAATTTTTTTTTCAATTAAATTACATGAGATTATATAAATAATGGTATGTAAAGAAAGCCCCTTTTGTCCTGAAAAAAACAATATATAATTTGTATGGGAACCGTAAATGAGAGAGCAGAAAATTACAGCTAAACACAAACACCACAAAAGTGTAAAAAGAGGCCTGGTCGCAAATGTACAACATCTCAAAAACAGTCCAGTCCTTAAGGGGTTAAACTGTAAATCTGTCAGATTTAAGCAATGGACATGTTTATATAATTTTATTAAAATAACTTTTCCAAATTTCCTAATCTATTTGTATATGAAGATCTTTTCCCCACTTTTCAATTGCTCTGGAAAGTTTATCATGTCTTAACTTATATAAGACTTTAACAGATTTAGACAGCATACTTTTACAGTTTTTTTTGTTTGACAAGTTGAATAATCCTATCTGTTTTACACTCTCTATTCTTAATCAAATAAGCTGAGACGAACCCTTTAATTCTAAGGTAGTTAAAGATATCCTTCGGTAGGATACATAACTCTTATTTGTTGGAAAGGCTTGATTTTATAATCCAGAATAGAGAGGATAAATTCTCTATCCCTGTACAATCTTTCTCTTTTGAATACCATTTTTCCTTTTCTGCGGATGTATAATGTGATAACATTTTATGAAACAATCTACTGGCCTAATAACATTGATGGATTTCTGGGCAACTCAAACCTACATCTTGTGTTAACCTGGCTAAATTTTTTATTTTTACTCTTGGTTTCTTTCCATCCCAGACAAATTTTAAAAAAGAGGCATGCAACATTAATAACCAGTTTTCAGGGCAGTTAAGAGGGATCATTATCCATGAATAGATCCATTTTTGTAAGATATAGGCCCTTAGTATATAGATTGTCCCCGACCACGAGAATCCCAACCCCCTCCAATCCCATAGGTTTTGATTAATTTGTTTTAATAAGGGTAAGAAATTAGCTTCTATTAACTTTTTTACCTATGATGCAATAGTTATTCCCAGGGCCGGCCTTAGAGGTGTGCGAGCTATGGGCCGCACAGGACACCATGGAGCAGGGGGCACCATGTGGCCGAGACAGCTCACACATGGCCGGACGGGATTTAAAAAAAATTACAAATAAAAATTCGCGGTGGGGGCGGAGCTTCCTTTGCGGCGGGGGCAAAGCTAAAAGTGCCGGATAACTGCTGCAGGGAAAGCAGGAAGGAGTCCCTGCTTCCCCCAACAACCAGTCTCCAGGAGCTGCACTGCCTCCACAATGAACAGAGGCAACTGTGTGATTGTCAGTGTGTGTATAACTGTCTGCCTGTGTGTGTGTGTGTGTGTGTGTGTGTATGTGTATAACTGTCTGCCTGTGTGTGTGTGAATGTCTGCCTGTGCGTGTGTGACTGTCTGCCTGTGTGTGTGTGTGTGTGTGACTGTCTGCCTGCGACTATGTGTATGTGGTGGATTTGACAGTGTATATGTAGGATTGTGTGCACATAACTCTGCAAAAATATACACCTGCATTCAAACACAGGCCTAAATGCATGTTTCTATCTGAATTAAATAACCATCACACACAGCCAATAAACCCAGGACAAATATCACATACAACCAATATACGCATATCACACACTGTTAATACACCCATTACAAATATCACATACAGCCAACACATAGCATACATATCACAAACAGTCATCTCATCTATCACATACACAGACAACACAAACATAACATCATACATGGATGACGGAGGGGGGCACTGTGAAGATTTTTTGCACAGGGCGCTGAATGGCCTAAGGCTGGCCCTGGTTATTCCCAAGTATTTAAAAAAAAATTATCCTTTGGGAGACCAAATTTTTTTATAAGATTATTAACTGATCTCTTACACATGTTCTTAACAATGACTTCTGATTTATCTAAATTCGTTTTATAACCCGATACTCTAGAATAGCTATTTATCTCTTTTAACACTTCCGAGAGGTCTCTTGCTTTTCAAGGATCAGTAGTATATAATCCGCATAGATATTTAGTTTAATCTGCCCTAACGGATATCTATCGCCTATAATTTTTTGATTTTGTCTTATAGAAATGGCTAAAGGTTCCAATACCTATCTCTATCTCATGAATTTTGCCTGTGGAGAGTCATAGAGAGCAGATACCGCTTTTAGAATTGGACCTGTAAATCCAAATTGTTTTAATGTGGCTGACACAAAGGCCCACCC